GGAACGGCAGCCACAGTGTTCGTGCAGAGGCCGGGCCTTTAATCAACAAAGGATCTCTAACAAAGCGAACCATTCTCAAACATATATTGATGAAAGCTATCTATCTGGTTGGTCGAAGCTACCCTTCGCCATATGAACAAAGCCCCGAGACGAAAGCAGGTGTAGTAGATACTAGGACTCGAGCTAGAAATAGCACCCATCCTCGGTAAAATAGACACACAATGAAACGCGTTATCAACAACCACAATAACAACAAGAAAAGGAACACATGGATCACCAGGACGCCTAGCTATGCTACTCATAATTATTCACTAAATGCGCTGCAGGTATAATTGCATTGACCGATCCGTGTCATGCAAACTTTCCATTCCCCTCAGCTCAGATCAAATCCAGCTCCGGAATTGACCGCATACAAAAGCTTCTCCCGGAGGGTATTGGCGTTGGTATACCGGGGCAGCTTGAGAAGATTCACGCAGGTGCTCGTACTGGGGAGTCGTTCTTGATCCTCGCTCGAGTCTCGAATGCTGAAACGAGGATTGAGATGGCTGAAACCTAATAAAGGAGCCCGCGGGGTCGACGTCACAAATCGAAGCACTTTCTGTCTTTCTTCGTTGGACATCTTCTCCATCACATCCCAGAACAGCTTGACGGTGGGGTGCTCTTCTTTGTCATCCCCGATCGTGTATACTCCTCCGTAAAGCGTGTTGCGTCGCAAATCGGCTACATCAATGTCTCCTGAATCACCACTCACAAGGGTCTGCAGCTCCGTCTGGTTGAACATCGACAGCCACGACGGCTGGATGATTTGTCCCAGACCCTGGAGGAAAGCGTTGGTCTGCAGAGCAGGCTGGACTTGAAGCCGGTAGCGAGCAATGTAAGAGATATAAACCAACCGATTCTGATTCGTCACAGGTATGTCTGACCCGTGGCTTTTCAAGTCCCGGGTAGTCGTGCGGTTACCCCCGTCGGGAAGCGGTATCGTGTCAGTGACGGTGAAGTTCAACGAGAAGTCCTCCACATCACCAGGATAGTTCTTCAGTTGCAACTGTAGCATGGGTTAGCAGCTAGCACACAGTGCTAAAAAGCAACACGCTTCACTTACCAATCCCTGGTACAGTCCCTGGTCAAGATCCTTCAGATCATTCAGGTTGGCGCGGTAGGCTGTCTCACGCTGGGCCGAACCCGTGCCGCCCGTCAAAGCCCACTTCAGCAGGAAGAACGGGGCAAAGTTGACATCCACCAAGATGCCCTCATATAGACACTTTCCGATGATGCGGCCTAGGAATTCATAGCGCCTAAGTAGGTCACGGACGTTCTCGTTCCATTCCGCAGTGTTCTCAACAAAGCCAAGTTGTCGTAGAAGCTCTCGCCGCTGCTCGACTGCAGCAGGGTTCGGATAGAGCAGGTGCTGGTCGTTCTCTTCGAATAGATTCAAATCACTTGTCGATTTGAAAGCTTCACTAGTCACGCTTGTGAGGAACTCTTTGGTAACACCACCGCCATCGATACCAGCTTCGGTTGTATTGAACTTGTCAATGAACGTGATCTGAATGGGCTCCTTCAACCCATCCCCCAGCTCATAGAACTCATCAAAGGCGTCCTTGAAAATGCTCTCACGCCTGATATTGGCATGGTGCCGGCTAAGTATATCTTGTACAGCAGGACGTCCATCAATCAGACGGCCCATTGAGGCCTGCGCCACAGACATGCGCCAGGCATCCGGGTCGATATACCCCTGTCTTCGGCGCATTTGATCCCGATAGATGAATTCGCGGAATATCTGGACTCTCGTCGGGAAAGGTATGAAGAAAGGCATGTTGCGGAGAATTTCCATCCTCGGGGCCACGGCCTCCAGCTGCTTCCTGCGAGCGGCCTGTTGTTGGCGACGTCTCAATGCCTCGATACGGCGTGTCTGTTGAGCGCGGCCAGTACCGATCAGGCCTGGGGAAGGCTCAAAGAAGGAATCATTCATTAAATCATCCTGTTCTTCCTCCTCATCCTCATCCTGGAGCTGATGCCTATTCTCCTCTTCTGCTACAACGGCAGGGATGAAGCCTTCCATGTCGAAGCGGCTTGTCATCAACCAGTGCCCGTCTGGAAGGAATTTCCGTCTTGAATCTCGCTCATGGATCATCCGCAAGAGACCAGTGACCAGACCCTTGAAGTAGTCGAGCGGAATTCCCGTAACGCCGGGAAGCCCTTTCTCTTTGTTCTTCATCTCAATGTCCCTCACGCTTGCAATAGCATCCGGTGGCGCTGCAGACGAGCTAAAGTAGCTTCGAATTCCCCCGGTGTCTTGGGTTGCTTCTTTTTCACTCAGATCTGCCGAGTTCCAATACAGTGTGAAACCTAGGTTTTTGAGAAAGATTGTCATATCCTTGATGTCTTTCAAGGGAAGAGCGCTCTCCTTGGTCCAGGAAACTCGTGTGTTCGAGGAAGCGGTGAAAGACGACTCGCTGGAAAAGAACTCCTCATCATCCATCACTTTCAGAACGAAAGTATAGAGCTCGAGGAATAGAAGTATGATTGTCCATTCTTCATCCCTTTCCATTTGAGATATTTCCGGAAACCTAGTACCCTGCGATTCCTCGGCCGGTTTCAGCAGAGGCAACACTTTCGTCGAATCTTGACTAATGGCAGCGAAGATTCGGCTAGCCTTGGATGCTTGCCAGAAATATTTGATCGCAGGTATTCTTGAGCCTTGCTGGCCTGTCAACTGGTCACTCGAGGTCGCCGATCCCAAATACAACCACATTCGGATGTCATCACCCCGGCGAGGAAATACTCTCAGCAGCGTCAGAGCGTATGTTGCGAGAATCTTGGCTTCTTTAGATGCATCCGATTGAGCATTTGCCAGCTCCCCCTGAGAGAGATGCGTAGTGTGTAGCTGAGAAAGAAGCCCCGTGATATTGCTTTGATTCACAAGGCTGACTAGCTGCTCCTTGATGAAGGGGTGCAGTGGCGTTTGCTCGGGAGCCTCATCGTACTCGTTAGACTCTTCCGACTCTAGGCGCCGAGATATATGCACAGCGGTAGAGTTCAGCAGCTCCGATACCACCTTCACAAAACCCGGTTCTGGCGCCGGACGACCTGTCTGACCTCCCAGAGCGCAGCGGTGGAAGAAGATAAAGTAGGCAAGCAGCCAAAGACGGGCATCCACGTCTTCTTCACTCTTTGGTCGGTCTCCGAACAGCGTTTGTAACGGCCCCAAGGCGGAGGTCAGCAACTTATAATTGATATTGTTTGCTAGCCCGTCCAGACTTCCAATGTATTCCGGGAGGTTGGGAATGGTTAGATATATCTTCGCAAACCATTCATAAGCTGTAAGGGTCTCGGACGTAATGGGTCGAAGCAAAGCAAGCACACTCTCGGTAAGGCTATCCCTGGAGAGTTTATACCTTGTAGATATTGATTCAAAGTCTTTTGTGAGAATCACCATGACCGAGTAGTATTCTTTAGCTAGTCGTGCCATGTGCTTCGGTAACAGCCCCGTGAGAAAGACGAGTAGCTGAAGGAGATGTTGGACCGCAAACACCGGCACCGTTGGCGACGTCACAGACCGCAAGACACGGAGAGTCAAACCCGCCAGTTTCTTCAGCGGCGTGGTCCATTCCCCTTCGGTCGCGATTGAGGGGACTTCATGCAATGTCCTCTGGAACGCCTCGGAGAAGTATACCAGCCGAGCAACATCCCCACTGTCCCACGGTTCCAGAAACTGGACCAGCAAACGAAGCTGCGATAAGCAGTCCGCAGCTGTTCCGTATCGGAGGGAAGGTTGCAGAACAACATCAGACTGTTGGGCGAGGATGTCAAAGGAGGGGAGATGATCTTTGCCCTGCTTCTTCTCTATGGTATCCCACTCAGTGCGCCACGTCCTGCGCGTTATCTTCCGGCTCCGATAACCCCTCCATGTCCGTTGGACGAGTCGGCTCGCCGTCAACCGCTCTCTTTCCTGCTGCCTCGCAAGCCGTTCCTGTTGGGCAATCGCAAGAGTATTCTGGGGGCCTGCGCCGTGAGGGTTTTGTCGACCGGAGGGATATGCGGCGAAAGGGTTCGTATTGCGGCCCCCGAGGTTAACCTGCCGTGGACGGCGGGAGTTCCCCGTAAATGACTGGAACATAGCTTCGTCTTAGACGATCACGCTGAGATTAAAGTCTGTCGACGACAAGACTCGGGCGGACAAATGTGAAGGTCACTGTAGAGATGAACAGCATCAGTCAAGCGTCTCCATAACGCAGCCCACGGATGAGCAGCCTAAACACGCAGTGAAGCGGAGGTGGGTGGAGGATGGATTGAGCATTGCAGCTGTCTCTTTGCTGTCTCGTCCTGCACGCACTCCGAGATCGCCGCTGATTGCTTCTTACGGCCACGCACCGTTTACCACATAATCTGCTTATTGCCACTCACTTTGCCGCCACGCTGCCGATATCACGCTTAATAATGGTCCAATTGCTCTATCTAGATGATGCTGGAATTCTTCATCTGCATGCTGAGATCTGAGTGTTTGTTCCTAGAGGCTGTCTATTATCTCGTCGCTATATGGAAGATTTTGGTGATCTATAGGTGAGAAGCATCCATTTATTTCCTGTTTTATGCCAACAAGTGTGAGCTGGCTACTACTCCGAGAAACAGTGTATATATATCATGATTGAACCAACAGTAGCCATGACACCCGGAAAGCGAAGACTGCAGTGTACGATGATACTAGTAATAGACCATGACCCCTAACGCCCCCTTCCTTGAGTAAATCATCATGTGCTTAGATGAATAGTAAATCGCAGGGCGGTTCTTATGCTTTGATTATTCGAAAGGTGCCGTTCTACTAGTTTAGAAGGCCCCTAGTAATACTAGGGCTGGATCTGCCATATATCCCAGCTTGTATCACCAACTCTAACTCAATATGCGTCCCTCCACAATCCAAACTGCAGGGAAGTAACCTTAAAACCTAATGCATACCGCATCGTAAATTTAGAGCGGATTCTACCCATGTTCCTGAACCTCATGAAATCTGTAATTGGTGATATCTAAACCATTTGCTAATATGCAATGAAAAACCCAGAGATGCGCCGCGAACCAATGTATGTACCAAGCAAGGTAAGACCAAAGCTACACGCTCTGTCGTCTCAACCACCTGATACCTAGGTAGCCCTGTATAAAACTGTGCCCACAATATCAAATCCCACAGCTACTGTACATAGAATACAGTCCACGCAAGCCGGACCGGCAAATAAAGCATGCAGAGCCGATGAACTTGAGCGACCACTCCCCAAAGAGCAACACCACTAGAATAGCCGACTCAACTCCGGCGCCGCGTCATTTCATGCCTGATGTAACCGCCAAACTGTGCATGGACGAAGGGGGGTATGTATGATATGCCTCATCATGTCCGAAAAATCCGAATGTGTTTCCCTCTCGAAAAGTACAAGGACCGCGATGTCGATTATTGACGAGCGGGCTGAGTAGTCGATGACGATTCCGCTGCGGCCTCCGAGTCCAGGCGCTCCTGTTCCAGAACTTCCTGACCGTTGTCCGAAGCCCACATATCGAGGTAGTCCTTTCCGCTAAAAGCCCGCTGAAGGGTGACGATTCTTCCGTCCTTCTCGATTTCTTTCGTGTACTTGGATTTCGTGGGAGGCATACGCTTGGTCACGAAGGGGGTCAACTATATCATACATATTCGTGTTAGTAATTCAAACCGTAGATAACAGTCAATTGAACATTGTAGAAGGTATAATCCCACCTTGAACTGATCCAAGTTTTCAGGCACAGCGAAAGTGCGGACTTTTTTCCAATCGATCACATATGACCCGTTCTTCGCAAAGTAACCCATCGATCCGGTCCGGTTACCCTTGTAGTAGCCACCAAGGACCTGTTTCGTGGTCAGGCGCAAGCGCGCCATCATGGGCTGCGAGGGCTTGAACATGGTGGGCAGGCAGGGAGGCAATTGACGGTCGGTGGGTTGCGGAGGTAACAAGACGGAGCGTTGGACAAGATGTTCGGGGAAGAGACGATAGGAAGGCTCTTTCTGGGCGGCGCTAGAGAGAAGTAGCTCCGCCCCGCCAAGAACTTTTTTCGTGGTCCGCATCGGAAAAGTAAAAAAATCAACGGCTGCATCTTGACAACTTCTTGCGGTGCGTGGTCACCATTCAAGCTGTTGTTTCTTTCATTTAATCTCCTGGAATTTATTTGAATAGATTTTTTATTTACATAGATCACTGCTCAGGAGCTGCGACACACGCCCATCATGCCTCGCAGGCAAACGCAAATGCGCGGTCCCAAAGATCGGGACCAGTCCCTGCAGAAGTCGAAGCAGCCCGCACCCAAGAACAAGAAGTCTGGCAACTACCTGAATGCTTTTGCTATCGCAGAGAGCGAAAACCCCGGAAAGCTGGGAGTTAAGCGCACCCGTCTGGGCAAGCAGGACGAACCGTTCAAACGCAGGCGACACAACCCTCAAGATGACGACGATTCGGACGGCCCGGACTACAGCAAGCGCCGTCGCACTGAAGACGATGAGGCGGAAATGGACTCGAATGCTGGTAGCGATGGCGAAGGACACCGGTGGAGGATTGGTGAGGTCGGTAGTGATGATGACAGCGAGTTGGACAGTGACGAAGCCATGGGTTCTAGTGATGAGGAAAGGTTCGAGGGTTTCACGTTCCGCGGAAGTTCTACGATGAAGAAGAATAAGCCGAAGCAGAAGGCCCCCGAACGCAAGAAGCGCACTCGCGATATCAACCTGTCCGAGGATGCTGAAGTATCGGAGGAGGACGATCTTGAAGACGACTCTGACGACCTCGGAGAGGATGCGATAGATTTGACTACGGCTTGGGATATGAACATGGCAGAGGAGGAAGAGGAAAAGGCTAAGAAGGCCAAGTCTAAGTCTAAGCAATCGGCTGAAAGCGATGAATCGGAAGAATACGACTCTGAAAGCGAGGACAGCGACTCTGACGACAATGACGATGAACTGCCATTATCGGGAGACGAAATGGACGAGGATGAGGTGGATGAGCATGGTCTTTCCAAGCTACAGGACTTTGTCAATGCTATGAACACCGAGGGTACCACGAAGACGGCTCGAAAGATAGGCGGAAAACAAGAACATGGGGCCCCTACGGAGTTCGGTCTGACTTCTACGAAAAAACTCACTATTGCCGATCTTTTGCCTTCTATTACAGATTCTCGCCTGAAGAGTTCCCTGAAGCATGTCGACGCTGCTACAACCTCAAACAAGAAGACGTCCGGTGTTCCTGGCAAGCTGGATGCGCCTCTTGCAAAACGCCAACAGGATCGGCTGGACCGAGCGGCCGCATATGAGAAGAGCAAAGAGACTCTTGACCGCTGGCTGGAGACTGTCAAGGCCAACCGCCGAGCCGAACACCTTATGTTCCCTTTGCCTGATCCCGAAGCAAACCAGACACACCGTATGGGCGCTGCTGAGCCTCGAACCGACCTTGAAAGCACCATTCAAAATATTCTTCAGGAGAGTGGACTCACTGAAAACAACGGAAAGTCGGCTGAAGAACAAGTGCAGGAGTTTGAAGAACTCCAGGCGCGGAAGCTGCCTATCGAGGAGATCAGGGCCCGCAGGGCGGAACTACGGAAGCGTCGTGATCTGCTCTTCCGGGAGGAAGTGCGCGCCAAGCGCATTAAGAAGATTAAGAGCAAGTCGTACCGTCGTGTGCACCGCAAGGAGAGAGAGAGGCTTGAGCAACAGGAACGCCAGGCTCTCCTAGAAGCCGGCGTGGACCTGGATGAGGAGGAGAAGGAGAAGAACGATCGTCTAAGAGCGGAGGCCAGAATGGGTTCGAAGCACAAGGAGAGCAAGTGGGCGAAGAGCCTGAAGCAGACTGGTCGGACCGCCTGGGACGAGGACGCTCGACATGGCACACAAGATCTTGCTCTACGGGAAGAAGAACTACGGAAGAGGATCGAAGGAAAGCGTGTCACCAACGGTGATGAAGACTACCTTGGCTCGTCCAGTTCTGAGTCCGAAGATGAGGACCCATGGGATGAAGAGGCTGGGTCAGATGCTGAGAAGCGCAAGATCCGCCAGAAGCTCAGTCAGCTGGAAGGCGACGATGATGCTGACGCAGAGTTCAAGGGACCTCATGCCAAGCTCCTTTCGATGAAGTTCATGCAGAATGCGGACGCTGCGCGTAAAGCAGAGAATGATGCTGAAATTCGACGTCTCAACCGGGAGCTCCACGGTGAAGAATCGCAGTCTGAGGCGGAATCCGAAGTCGGTCGGCGAAAATTCGGTCACAACAAGGAGGAGGCGAAGACAGCAAAGGAAACCAAAGCGAAGCTGCCTCGGAATGAATTCGAAGAGGCACCGGGTTCTGACGACGAGGATCAGCGAGAGGCGGATCAAGAGGTCGACATTGTTGTTGATCGTCCCGCAAAGAAGGGACCGGCCGTCTCCCAAAACAAGTCCCGTGGTCGTCCTCAAAAGGAAGTCGCAGAAGAAGATGGGGAAGATGCTGCTGCTGCGGAGGAGAACCCGTGGCTCGTGCAGACGAATCGCAATAACCGTCGCGCCAATGTGAACGACTCACAGCAGACTGTTGACATCACGCTAGATGACGCGAACGTCAGCAGTGGTAAATCGAAGAGTGCTCCCAAACCCCAAAAGGCATCGGCACCTAGCAAAAAGAAGGTTGATGCCGAGGTGTACGGTAGTGATGAGGAGGAGAGCGTGCCCGTGCTTCTCAAGAATCATGATCTGGTGAAGAGGGCTTTCGCGGGCGACGAAGTCGTGCAGGACTTTGAGCAAGAGAAGTTCGACACCATCAAGGAGGAAGACGATCAAGTGATTGACAACACCCTCCCCGGCTGGGGTAGCTGGGCCGGTGATGGCATCAGCAAGAGACAGCAAAAGCGCCAGAAACGGTTCCTCACCAAGGTCGAGGGAGTGAAGCCGGAAGACCGGAAGGATGCCAAGCTCTCCCGGGTCATCATCAACGAGAAACGGGTCAAGAAGGTAAGAACGACGATCAGTCGGGCTCTAGCGCGTGTGATTCTTAATTTGTGCATGATGAACTAACGCTTGCTGTTTTGTCTAGAACACAAAGTACATGGCCACGCAACTCCCTCACCCCTTCGAAACGAAGCAGCAGTACGAGAGATCGCTCCGTCTGCCCATCGGCCCTGAGTGGTCTACGAAGGAGACTTTCCAAAATGCAACCAAGCCACGCGTGATGATCAAGCAAGGTGTCATCAAACCGATGGAAAAGCCCATGGTTTAATGTATGTGGTGGTCTGGCTACTACGAGTTGGCAGTCATGATGGGTATCTGGGTAGACGAGAGCAAGGCATCTTGCCTGCCTGGGGTCTTTTGGTGGCGTTATTGTAGAATTAAGTTTGGTCATGATACCAAGTCATTTTAAGATTTCTCCGAACGATGGGTTTATTGGTTAAGAGGTTGCGACTAGAGGGTTGTCAAGGTGATGATTTTGTGTCATCCCCGCATCAACCGGATTGTTCGTAGCATCCGATCTGCAGACCAGCACTGGTTTCAAGTTATTTTAGTGCTGGACCCTTTGTGCAGGGCATTAGTCTCCGGGGTTGGTCACCCCCCCTATAAGGTTGTCGAATAAGCAGTGTTTTGGACCCAAGATGATCAGGTCTGGTGAGTCGCTGCACCGTGATACTTTCTTCTCCCAATGCGGAGTGGTGTTTCCTTGAATGCAGGCCACATGGACATCGAGATTCGGTCCGACTTGGATCCATGGAAAGGAGCAAGCCACTCAGAGAGTGTGTTGCGTCCCTTGCAACGACGACTGACAGGGCGGAATGCCACGACGGGCGTTGGCTGGGAAAAATCAGAGATCGAGCATTCAACAATCAAACTAACGAAATTTACTTTTAACCTTGGCGTATGGGTACATTCCTTGATGCCTAGGGAGCATACGCCTCTCAGACCAGGTCTAGGAAAGGTAACCGTGATATGGAGAGAAAGCCACAGAGTCAAGTCAAGGACCATGAGACACTCAAAGCCCGGTCGCAAAGCTGGTCGGACAGTATTCAACTTTGTCCTTTGGTCAGAAGGTGAAGGAGGAGAAAGTACGTAGTTCTTGGGGAAGTATATGAGGCATGGGGGGATGCAGCAGTAAACCATCGATGCTCCACTTGTTCTTTGGTTTACCCGCATCTTACAAACAGAACAGCGACAAGCAACTCAACAACTACCATCACCCGTCCTTCCACTCTCCCTCTTTCTCTCCTCTCCCTTCAAAACCAACTACTAGTTTTTATCTGTTCACACTAGTAATTCGCGTCTACGACACCATCAACAATCAATCAATCAATCATTTGGCCCTCCATCGGTTAATGCAAATTAATTTCGATTAATCAATCTGCCCCCCCCCCCCCCCCTTTCATCAGCTGTCTTAATCATCCGGCTGCAGTAAGCTTCCATCTCCCCTGCACATACCCGCCCGACTTCAGGCAGATGGCGCTCTGCATGCACCACGGCTTGCAGAGCCCGAGGATGGTGCATTCCACCCCCCTCAACCCTACATTCCCCGTGCTATGTTTCCGTTATGCCTCGAGGTCTGGGATCAGACACCACAACATTGACCATTGTGCAGATCGACGCCTCGTAATACCTCCGTTGGCACTTGTTCCAGCCCGCCAGTGTTCGTCTGGTATCCTTCTGCACCGGGGCCGGAGTTTTGCCCGGGCCTGAGAATCCTACTGGCTGAGACCGGAATCTATACTCGACCTAGGTGAGTTATTTCACTGCTATTTGAAAAATGTCTTCCGCCGCTCGATCTTCTCCTGTTGTTTACTATCCTTTCCCATCCCTTCCTCATATACTGGAGCCTGTCTCTCGAGTGTTCCGTGCACTCGAATAGTATTATATACGAAAGGAGATTTGGGTGATCCAAACTTGGATCGTTTCTCCATCTCTGGCCCCTATCTTATATTCTTCTTAATGATTCCATTGCGTTCATTGGC